CCCTGGGCATCCCCAATAATCTCAAAAATGCTTAATTTGTTTCGTTGGCAAACAAGAAAGAATAAAAACCAAATAGAATCATGGCTGATTGTCTAGCTTTCTTTAACCTACATTGACGCGACGTAAATCAAATTGATATAAGGGTGTGTTATCTACATATTCTTTTTACTTCTCATACAGTCATTATTAATTTTTGTCATTTGGTCTTCTTCTTCAATTCATTCGATCGAATGACTGAAAATTAAAAACGTGTGTGAGAAGTAAAAATAAATGTGTAGATATCACATCCCTTGATATAATATGGATTTTAGGTTATGAACAATTAGCTTAACAAACTACATCAACTAGCTGAATTACATTGACTTTGACTTCTAGAAGCTTTCCATTAGGCCCATTACACGTCAAATTTTGAGATGCAAGATTTTCAAGTAAGGAGGCTGGATTGCAAGTTTTCCCTTCATTGACTTTGACACTAGACATTTATTCTCAGCTTTGGCCGCCAATTTTGTGCATACAAGTATGCAGAACATAATTTCATGATCAATGAGTAGGTTGGGGGAAAAACATGTATCTAAATCACAAAATAGGGAAACAGAACAACATGGAGTCCTCTACATTACTATCACAACAGTTCTAACTTCCACATTCATCAACTCACATTAATCTTTTCAAGAGCATCATCAATAGGAGTGCAAAAATGCTTTGGATTGTGGATTTTTATTTATTTTTTTTTGCTGGAAAATTTTCTAGTGGATGAGATGTAAAATATCCATGTTGGCTAGAAAATACACATAAAAATGTAAATTTGCATAATTTTTTTTACACCTTTTATAGATGGACCCCACCAGGCAATTAGAGAATACTAATTGAGATTTCAATAATTACAACTCTCTCATTAGAGTGAGAGAAATTTTTCAGTATGTCTAGAACACTGCCTTATACACAAAGTGTAATAAACAATTGGTTGAAAATTTGAAAAAAAAAATATTCAATCAATTGTATTATGATACTTGGTATACCGAGTCATATTCCCGGCAAATTGAAAATTTTCTCTTAAAATGGAACACACATTTTCATTTCCAAAGACTGAGAGTGTAAGATAAGATGTAAATATGATTTTTATATCTCAAGTTTGCAACTCTTCATTGAAGATACTACCTTAACATTAATCATGAATGAACCCTTTAGATGCCAATAGATATTTTTATTAACTTCTTATTGAGAGTACAAATCCCACATCAAGAAAAAGATCGATCTTGCATGTGCTTATAAAAGGCTGGACTACTCTTCATTGCCAATTAATCTCAAATTTCTTCATGGTTTTAGAATAGGTTGACCTAAGTGTGAAAATTAATGGTCACACGTGCTTCACGCCACCCAGTTTGTATTGTCCATGTATTTGGTTTGAGAATTCACCATGTGAGAATGTGAAAGTTAAAGAGTCCCACATCATAGAAGGAGAAACCTTGACATTGATCATAAGTAAGTTGGCAATCAGTTTTATGGTTGAACCCCTTCTTCGTGGTATTTGAGCAAGTTGTCTTGCGTGTGAAGCTCACTGACTATACATGATTCACTTTACCCAATTTGTGTTATCCACATATTAGGCTTAAAAATTCATCACACGTGAGGGGATATGTTAAGAGTATCAATCCTACATCATGAAAAAGAGGATGTTGCATGTGCTTATAAGAGGTTTGGCAATTCTCATGTAACCAATTAATTTTAGGAAGTTTTAACGAAACACTCCCGGTACTGTTCACTTTTAACGAAAAACCACATTTTTACCTTTTTCTGATACTATTCACTACACCTTTATTTGTCATTTTTTATTAAAACTAAAGTTTTTTTTGAATTTTTCGTTAATTTTCCTTTAATTTTATGATAAAAGCTCAATTTTTTTGACTTCTAATATCATCCTTGAAATTATTGCCATCACTAATTTTTCTTTTGTATTTATGATTTAATTATGTTGTCATAATTTTGACGAGTGTGGACAAGACATTAGAAATAGGGTAAAGTATAAAAAACTACCTCAACTATTGGTGTTACGACACTTTCATACTTCATCTTTTAAAATTGACAATGTCATATCTCATCTTACGAATTTGTGTCAATGTTATACATTCTGTTATATAGGCGTGAATTTCTCAATTAAATGTTGATGTGACTTGATCCGGACCCCTTTTTTATTAAAAAATTATTAAAAACTAAAAAAAAAGCATTTAATATTTTTTAAATATTAAAATAAAAAAAAAAGTTAAAAAAAAAAAAAAAACCAACATCAGTTCGTCCCCTTCCCCCCTTCTCTCTCTTCTTCTTCTTCTTCTTCTTCTTCTTTTGCAGGTTAGGTTGGGGGGGGGGACGAATTGGGTTTCCCCTTTTTTTATTTTTTTTTTTTTTTTTTTTCTCTTTCCTTCTTCTTCCTCCTCCTTTCTGGGTTGCAAGAGGTTGAGTTTGTGGTGGGGGGAGGGGGGACGAATTGGGTTTGGTCTGGGTTTTTTTTAATTTTTTTTTCTCTTCTTCTTCCTCCTTCTTTATGGGTTGCAGGAAGGTGGGGAAGAGAGAGAGGGGGAGGGACGAACGGACCTGAGGTTTTTATTTTTTATTTTATTTACTTTTCTTTATTATTTTAATATTTAAAAAATATTAAATGATTTTTTTTAGTTTTTAATAAAAAATGGGTCTCAAATCAAGCCACGTCAGCATTTAACTAAGAAATAAACGGCCAAGCTAACAGAAGGTATAACATTGGCACAAATTCTAAAGATGAGGTATGACATTATCAATTTTAAAAGATAAGATATGAAAATGTCGTTTGCACTTTACCCTAAAAAATATAAAAACGTCTTATCCATTAGATAATGAAGCCAAAAATCTTTCCAAATCTGTATAATTGCCAAAGCTTCTGGTCTCAGTTCTGTCATCTTGTTATTATTCAATCAACTTTCCTTGTCTACTTATCCCAGGGATTATTTCCACTTGCTAAAGATTTGATCCCTTTTCAATGATTTTCTATTAAATTGATAATAATTCAAAGTAAAACAGAAACACATATACTTCAATGGCAGCTTTGAGGTTAAGAATTTCTATCCTGGTTTTCTGTGCTTGCCTAGTTATTCAGTGCAGCTGCTATGGCCATTATGTGCTTCAGAAAAAGCATGCTGCCCTTTTCATCTTTGGTGATTCACTTTATGATCCTGGAAATAATAACTACATAAACACCACCACTGATTTCCAGGCCAATTGGTTCCCATATGGTGAGTCCTTCTTCAAGTATCCAACTGGCAGATTTTGCGATGGACGTTTAATCCCAGATTTTCTTGGTAAGAATCTTAATCATGCTGTCAATAATTTTTGTTGTTCAATTTTTTCAATACCCCTTCAAACACATTTCCTGCTAACAATTATACCAGCATATTTAGTACATTTGCATTGATGTTGCAGCTCAGTATGCCAAGTTACCAATTATACCAGCATATTTACAACCTGGGTTGAACAGCTATACTAATGGGGTGAACTTTGCTTCTGGCGGAGCTGGTGCTCTAGTTGAAAGTCATCAGGGACTTGTATGTGCTCTACCTTATAAAATGTTTTCCATTATTATTGGGAGTTATCGTTTTTCCAATGAAATAGAGGATTAGACGATAATAGCTAATAGGAGTGGAATGATGGGACACAAAGCGTCCACCCTCAGTCCTGAAGCCGAAGGGTCTTGCACTTTCTGAGAGCACAGCGCCTATCCTCTGAGAGTTTTTTGCTACAGTTGCAGCTTTCGATTATTGATTTTCCGTGTGCGAAAGAAATTCGGGTGGACATTTATCCATTTGGCATGACTTAATTTTGTTTTCCTTATTCTTTCCAGGTGATAGACCTTAAAACTCAAATAAGTCAATTCAGGATGGTGGAGATGCAGTTGAGGCTCAAACTAGGTGATGCAGAAGCCTACACAGTGCTCTCCAAAGCTGTTTACATAATTAGCATTGGAGGCAATGACTATTTGTCTCCATTAGCATCCAATTTTAGCAATGAAGAATACGTTGGCTTGGTTATTGGCAACCTGACAATTTGGATCAAAGTAACATTTCAATGCTTAGTTTCTTCTTTTTCCGATGATTTGCGACAGCTCGTGCCCTTTTCTATTGATTACGAATTCAGAAAAATATTTGGATGAATGACTTCGTATACATTTTGTCAGGAAATATACAAGAAAGGAGGAAGGAAATTTGGATTTTCAACCTTGCCGCCTCTCAATGAAATGCCGAGCCTGAGAGTACATAAACCAGGGGACACAAGCCCCTCAGCGGAAGAAGTTATACCACTAGTGAAACTACACAATAAAGCACTTGGAAAACTCCTCCTAAAGCTGAAGAGAGAGCTCCAAGGATTCAAATACTCAACCATTGATCTCCATACATACCTAAAACAATTCATAAATCGTCCATCAAAATATGGTATATATAACACCTACTGTACTGTACCATCTTTTAGCTTTAGTTTCTCTTATTTGGTTTTTTTTTTTTTCATAAGCTAAATAAGTTATGTCTTTTCTAATTTTGTTATTATTTTGTTGTAAGGCTTCAGTGAAGGAACGACGGCATGTTGTGGCTCTGGTCCATATGGAGCAATTTATTCTTGTGGAGGGAAGAGAGGAGTGACTAAGTATCAGTTATGTGACAACGTTACTGAATATGTATTTTTCGACTCTTTCCATCCAACCGAAAAGGTTTACCGGAAACTGTCCAAGTTATGGTGGAGGCATAACTTGAAGAAGCTATTTGAAGTTTAGACAAAACTAGCTAGTAATACCGGCGCGTTGCTGCGGGATTACAAATTGCATAAATAATTATGTATCATTCTCTTCAAACAGTTTCTCTAATTATGAGTTTTATTAAGCACGAAATAAGACTATTTTCTTGTCACAAAATTAGCCTTTTCAATGCATGAAAGCAAGTGGTAATTATTAAAATGAATATGTTAACATATAGCATAAATTCTAATAACCTGAATAATAGTATTTTAATTGACATCAACAATCAGAAACACAATTGTAAATATAAAGTTGGGTGATTTAATGGTTACAAACAATGTAAATCACCTAAACATAGAGAAATAAAAAGTAGATGAAAATTAAGGATTGACTTGAGCTTGGAGTTCACAAAATGCTTTTAAGGGTAGTAAATGTTCTGTTGGATCAAATTCCTTGTAATGAGATACTCTTCTCTGAACAAACTGCATGAATAAAATTCTATCTTTCAACCACCCCTAATTTAAAATAATTAAGCTAAGAAAATACACAATAAGCACTGCACAATCACAGTAATAACAATTTTCTAATAGCATTACATTTATCGATTACTTTCCACAGGAATTTCAAAAATGGATAACTAAGCTGTAATTTAAGATCTTTTAAAATTGCAATTTTATAACTCACTAAATCCAAATTACAAACTATGCAGTCAATCTCAATACCCTCCTTGTACCTCATTCAAAGCCTTTAGGAAGCACTGCAACATCTTTTGGAACCCTTGCCTCATTTTCGTCCGGAGTGCATAATGCGCAAACAGTTTAAGCATTTCCCAGCACCACGGAGCGTCATATTTCCTATTATTAATCCACAAAGCCTCCTCTAGCTTTGAAATAGCAGCTGGGCAAACAAACACAAATCTACATTTATAAATTCAAACTCCCAAATAACTAAATGGAATAAGTCCCAAATTTATACTTTCAACTACCAGATAAAACATGGAGAATTCCTATGTCTAAAATAATTAATCCAAAAAAAAAAAGGCTTTTTATACTAGCACTCCACAAAATGTTGAATGTACCCCACTATGCAATGACAATTTTGACCTTATTAGGTTTAAAAAATAAATAAAAATTTCTAAATGCACCCCAAATCACTTTTTACGTATTATTTATTTTCTGAATAATCAAAGCTCTCCCATCCTCCATTGTTGAACAAAACTCTAACCAATGAAATTACAAATATGTTGATTGAGAAAAATTGTTTTTGAAGAATGGAATACAAAATCAATGTTTCAAAAACATCACATGAGGTAAGACTTCATATTTTTCATTGTTTTAGTGATTTCAATGACATCGATAATTATTTAATCTTGCGTTTCGCTAGTACAAAAAACACTTTACGCGACTCAGGTCCTTTGTCACGCAAAGTCAAAAACGTCGCGCAAAAATTTTCCCAATGAACCTTCGTCGCGCACCAACCGTTGCGCCAAGGCAGTGATAGTAGGGTTTGCGCAACGAAGAAATGACATGCGTGGTTTTGCGTGACGTGTAACCTGCGTCGCGCAAAACCACTTGGTGCGACGCATGTCACTTCTTCCTCGCGCAAACCCCTTTTTTTTTTTTTTAGACAAAAATATTTTTTATTTAATTTTTAATAAATATTGTATTTAAATTCTAAACAATAATTAATAAATGAAGAAAAAGTATTTAATTATAAAATATGTGAAAATGTACATACAAGATGTCCGAACAAAAAAGAACAAACTTACACAAGTAGTCTTCTAGGTTTGATACATAAGGCTACTGGGTATCGGCTGGGCGAAGTGGTTGGGAGGTCGAAGGTAAGATCAGGTGCTAGCATCGGGATTTGGAGGCTGGGGACATCTGTAAGGCCCATACAATCATACTCATCTGCTCACCCTGGGTCGTAAGCTGACCTTTTAGTGTTGTCACTTCCTCCACATTGGGAATCTGTGATAAATTTTAAAGCTTATCTGAATCACTATTTATAACAACTAAAACATGTTTCAGGATGCCTAGTAAACACTCTAGTAAGCAACATTGTAATCAATCAATGGTACCAAAACTTCATTAGACTAATTAATATGATCAAAGTACTGTACAAAAACAGTTTACTTTGTACTAGCCATTCAACCAGACACATGACCATAGAGACTAACTAGTAAACAAGTAGAAAAGTAACAGAAGCAACTGATGCATTCATACGATTTATGACAATTGCTGGCATGTAATTTATGGATCACTTTACCATGATAGTGACTTGACTTGACTTTGAGTAACATCACAATTCATGTAAAAGTAAAATTGACTCACAAAAATCATGTACATAATGTTGAAACCCCAAAGGCGGGTCCTACTCATATCATATATATCTATTTGACCTAGCCTAATAAAGGGAGGTAGAGAGACTGGAGACCATTTTCCAGGTCTTCTGCGACTTATAGATGGTCGCCTCCAATCGCCAATAACTTATGTATACCTTTCTTTCTATATTTGTATAACTATAAGTATAAGGGAAAGGTAGTTGTGATAGAACTCAGGAGCCCTCTAGCAAACATGTTCATTTTGTTATTTTTGGTGTGAGATTAGAAGTGTAAACATGAATTTTCCTGAAATAAGAATACGTGTACAAAATAATATTTTGTATTTAATGATTTTGGGGTTACAATCTCTTCTACAAATTTAGCCTCTGATTCTATCTTCGTAAGGTGTAGGTTTATGGATGAGCTGTTGATCCAAAGGGTCGTCGGGGCTTGATTTAGGGATGAACAGTTGATGAATAGATCTTCAAGGGCCGTTGGGCTTGATCTTAAAAAACGGGTGTATGGGTTTGTTGATTTTTTGTTAATCCGAAGGGCCGTTGGGGCTTGATCTTAGGATGAACAGGTGATGAATGATGAACACTTTCTTCAAGGGCCGTCGGGGCTTGATCTTGAAGACGAAGAACGAAGAGGGTTTTACTGATCCTTCGGGATTTGCTTGAGAGCTTTAGGATTTCAAAGCTTCAAGGTTTTGGTATGATGTAAAATTCCCCCCTTTTTCCCTTGATGGAGAAGGCTATTTATAAGCCAAGAGAATGAATCACCACCATCTATTTTTTTTGATGAAATGAGTGGATGTTACAGGTGAAATAAGTGTGTGTGAGGTTGGTGAAGTAAGTGGAAGTTGTAGGTGAAATGAGTGTGTGATGTAGGTGAAACGAATAAAGGTTGTAATTTTAATACATTAGTCAACATTTATTTCACTGAAATTTCAATGTCTACAAGAAGATACATAACATATTAGATAGTTTGAATTTGGAATGCGCAATAGAGGTGTAAATGCAAAATTTCAAAATTTACGTGTCTACAAGGGGGTTTAGGGTTCATGGCTAGTCCTTTACTGCAACTGATTGCCCCAAGGCCTATTCTTTTCAACTACTAGAACATCATTGATTTCAGAAAACACTACCTTTTTCTTCCTGCTTGATTTTTAGATTTTATTTCTTAGAACATAACTATGGCATTAGGAGCATGGTTGAAGAGTAAACTTAATTGCCCCGTTCTCCGGTCCATGGATTTTATTTTTTAGATTTTACAGCCATTAAGGACCAGGTTTCCAATTTAAAGAATGAAGTACATGCAGACCAGTTGACTGGGAAAAGATGACCTTTATTTCTCAAAGGTCAGAAAGCTCTGAATTCTATACACACCTAGCGACATGCAGGAATCCCGGCTTTCGGGCTACATAGTGAAAATGTAAATTGGACAAACTAGGAATCAGCTGACTTCTTGGTAGTGCCAAGAAGATGCAATTTCCTTTCCTAGACAAAAACAAAGGATTTGGAACGTCTAGACACAGAGTATTTACTGGGTATTAACAAAAAGTACAAATACACTACTTATTTAAAAGTTGAAGGTTTCTGTGTGTACCTTTCATCTAGCCCGTGAATAAATTTCTCTGTAGGACGCATAACTCTTCCAAAAGGCATTGGAAATTCAATACTGCCCCACCTGAAACATAATAATAATAATAATGTAAGGTGGTATTGAAAGTAGTATGCTAAAACACTAGTAAATAGCTTGGCATATACATAACAAAACAGAGAAGGTAAAACCAACTGAAGTGAATGAAATTTACTTTTTGAAGTTCTTCAAAGCAGCAGTGTCATCCAGCTCGCCTCTCATATCCAAAGGATATGGCTTTCCATCAACCAATGCAAAAGGATTCATCTCCAGAAAAGTGAAATCCAAATCTAGAATAGAATGATAATTAGCAAAATTGTTCTCACTTCTTACCAATCTAGTATGAAATGGAATGGTCCAAACTTTTTAACACACCTTGAAATAGGGCAAACACGGCTTTGATAAAGTCCTCAAGTTCTGCTTTGACCTATATTCAAGAATAATACTTGTCAATGATTTCCAGATTAAACTAAAACGAAACATGAACTCAAGAGAGATAGCATATGATTGACGCAAGCAAAATCGAGTACATTATTTCTTTTTTTCTGGTCAGAAGTAAAGTACACAGAAATGATACCGAAATACCATATCAATAAAAGACTTACCTCCAAGGGAAGGGTTGCAACAAGTGGAGCAGAAACTTCTGATGTAAAAGCAACTCCAGTAGGGACAAATATGGTCTTAACTTGCGTAAAGTATATTTTTTTATAAATATGGAGCGTTAAGGTAGACGAATAGAGCTCATAGAAGATGCACTTCTAGGAATTTTTATCTTTTTATTTAAAATAACAAGGAATAGCGTATGAATAAGAATTTGGTAACACATTGACATCCAAAAATACCTTATCCCAGTTCTCCTCAATATCACTTCCTCCACACTCAGAGAAGCTTATGCTGTTTCCAAGTAGGTCTGAGACGATATTAAGGTAAAACTCTTCATTGTGGGGGAATGAAGGGTTCAACAATGAATGTTGTTATGGGTCCTTTGCAGCCACCCATCTCAACCTGTAACGCCAAAAGAACGAAACACGTAAGCCAAATTCTCGATTCTTATGAAGATCAATATCATCAAATACAAAACACACATAAGGAACTTATGCATTGACGAAACAATGTGAAGATCAAATACCTCTTTGCCCAGGCGCTCCTTCACAAAGTCGAAAACTTGAGCAAAATCAAGATTCAAGGCAGCACCGTCAACATCTTAATATTCGATTTAACACTAAAACCCCCAATTTCTAATTGAATTTTCCAAATTGAATGTTTTCCACTCACATACATCTATCTATCTCAAAGATCCAAACAACCACGGAGAGCAAACATTCTAACCAAACCTCTAAAACTGTATAAAATAATGGACGGAAAATAATTTGAACAGAAAATTAAACACAGAGAAGTGAGAGTGTGAGACTAACCCTTTGCTGTCGAGACTCGAAACGGCGAGACCGGGGAGGATGATGATGCAGATAAATGGGCATGAACAAGGGGAGAGACCAAGTGAGAAAGGGAAGAGAGATTGATGGGCATGAACAAGGAGAGGATGATGATGCAGATGAAGATGCCAACGGAGAGACCGAGGAGGAAAAGCAGTCAGTAGACGAAGGTGGAGAGTTTGAGTTGCACTCCCATTTTCTCCAAATTTGGGAAAATTAAAAAAAAAAGGCCTAATTTTCACAAAACTACCGCCAAAATTTTAACACATTGCGCAACATTTGTATACATTACAACGTAGCGCAAAACCACTTTGCGCGACATAAGTGCACTTTTGTCGCGCAAAGCTGTTTTGCGCAACGGCAATCTTCATCGTGCAAACAGTCTTTGGGTAACGCTTTGGTGGTGCGTCGCGCAAAATGTGCTTGCACAAGGACCCAATTGTGACGTTGCGCAAGTTACATTTTTTAAAAAAGAAATTTATATAAATATTTAACGGTAATTTTAACTCTGTTTTTTATGATTTTTTATTACATTCCTTGATCCTATATGAATACAATGAATGAATTCGATCTTCAATTTAAAATATTTACACCAGTGAATACCACAAAATCTTATGTTATACTTAATGAAAGTATAAATAAACTTTTAAATGTTAATGAATCTATTGTTTCGATGGAATATGCATTCTACGAAACTAATTTCAATGATCTGACTATCAAATTTATTTGTATATGCTTCAAGTACGCCAAAAATCAGGAAAAAAAATTCAGAGATCAATTAACAAGACAAAAAATTTTGACGGTTATAAACGAAAAATCATGATTTAGCGGTTATTTTAACTCTGATTTTGATGATTTTTACAGCTACACTCCTTGACTCTATATGAATGAACTGGATCGTCAATTTAAAATATTTACACTAGTAGATACTACAAAATCTTATATTATACTTGATGAAAGTATAAAAAAACTCTTAAGTGTTAGTGAATCTATTGTTTTGATGTGATACGCATTCTACAAAACTAATTTCAATGATTTAACCGTCAAACTTGTTTGTATATACTTCGAGATCGCATACACCAAAAATCGTAAAAAAAAACGCATTCAAAGATCAAGTAACAAGACAAAACTTTTTTATGGTTATAAACGAAAAATCATGATTTAACAATTATTTTAACTCCGATTTTGATGACTTTTTTATAGCTACACTCCTTGATCCTATATCAATACAATGAACCAATTTGATTGTCAATTTAGAATATTTACATAAGTGGATACCACAAAATCTTATGTTATACTTAATGAAAGTACAAATAAACGTGTTAGTGAATCTATCGTTTTGATGGGAAAAACATTGTACGAAACTAGTTTCAACGATCTAACCGTCAAACTTATTTGTATATGCTTCCAGATCGCATACGCCAAAAATCAAAAAAAAAAAAAAAACATTCAAATATTAAGTACCAAGACAAACCTTTTTCGACGGCTATAAACAAAAAATCACGATTTAACGATTATTTTAACTTTGATTTTGATAATTTTTACAGCTATACTCCTTGATCCTCTATGAATACAATAAACTAATTCGATCGTCAATTTAAAATATTTGCACAAGTGAATACCACAAAATCTTATGTTATGTTATACTTATTGAAAGTATAAATAAACTCTAAGTGTTAGTGAATCTATTGTTTTGATTGGACGCGTATTGTACGAAATTAGTTTCAACGATCCAACTGTCAAACTTGTTTGTATATGTTTCGATATCACATACACCAAAAATGACAAAAAACAAACATTTAGAGATTATGTAACATGACAAACATTTTCAATGGCTATAAACGAAAAATCACGATGTAACGGTTACTTTAACTATGATTTTGATGATTTTTTACTCTTTAAACCTATATGAATACAATGAACTAATTCGATCATCAATTTAAAACATTTACACAAGTGAATAACACAAAAGAAAAAAGGCAATGCAAAAACCTAAAAGAAAAGCCAAAAAAAAAAAAAAAAAACCCTTTGCATGACACCGTTGAACCTATGTTGCCCAAATTTCCTATCTTTTTTTTTTTTTTTTTTTTTTTAGCGCTTTTGCTTATGAGTACAAAATGAATAAATTAAAATCCACTTAGTAAATATATATACCATTGAGCTTGATGGGAAACACATTGTACAAAATTTAGTTTCAACGATCCAACCGTCAAACTTATTTGTATATACTACGAGATCGTATACACAAAAAATCATAAAAAACAAACATTTAGAGATCAAGTAACGGGAAAAAACTTTTCGACAGTTATAAACTAAAAACCACAATCTAACGGTTATTTTAACTATGATTTTGATGATTTTTTACAGCTCCACTCTTTAAACCTATATGAATACAATAAACTAATTCGATTGTCAATTTAAAACATTTACACAAGTGGATACCACAAAAGAAAAAGGCAATGCAAGAATCCCAAAAAAATAGCAAAAGGAAAAAACCAAAAAACCAAAAAAACTACAAAACTTTGCGTGACCTAGGTGTAGCTGCGTCATGCAAAACAGCTTTGCGCGACGCAATTGCACCTACTTTGCGCAAAGTTTTTATTTTATTTTATTTTATTTTATTTTTTTGCCCTTTTGCTTATGAGTACAAAATAAACAAATTAAAATCTACTTAGTAAATATATATACCATCAAACTTGATGGGAAACACATTGTACAAAATTAGTTTCAACGATCCAACTGTCAAACTTGTTTGTATATACTTCGATATTGCATATGCCAAAAATCACAAAAAAAAAAAAAAAAAAAAATCATTCAGAGATCAAGTAATGGAACAAAATTTTTTAAAGATTATAAACGAAAAATCACGATTTAACAATTATTTTAACTCTAATTTTAATGATTTTTACAGCTACACTCCTTGACCCTATATGAATACAACGAACTAGCTCGATCGTCAATTTAAAATATTTACATAAGTGAATATCATAAAATCTTATAATATACTTGATGAAAGTATTAATAAATTCTAAGTGTTAGGGAATCTATTGTTTTGATGGGAGATGCATTGTACAAAATTAATTTTAATGATCCAATCGTCAAACTCGTTTGTATATATTTCAAGATTGCATACGCGCAAAAAAAAATAAAATAAAAAAACATTCAGAGATCAAGTAACGGGACAAGACTTTTCGACAATTATAAATGAAAAATCATGAAACACTTAATTGTACCCAGATCATAAGGAAGTATTAGATCATCTGAGCTTGTCTTTGCAAGTTCTTCATTTTCATTCTTTGCTAGCAGTCTTACTTGTTCAATGACCTTGGTCAATTTTACCTATTCAACGGATAAGATAAAGGGGCGGTAATGTGAAGGACTATTTGGAAAGCATTAAAACAGAATTGTTGCAATTGTCATAATTCATAAACTCTATATTAGCATGCTATTAGAATGAGGAATAACAGACTTGATAGGAGGACAAATAAAACTGTAGGTGAGGAAACCGAATGCAATTACCAATTTAGGTAGAAGTTTAGAAGCATCTGAAGGCAGACCACCTCCATCAGCCATCCAAGGAGGTGTTGCACTGTTATTACCCGTCTTTAAACCAGAAGTAATAATCTCGTTCAACCTAGCTTGCAGGGGAAGTATGTGAAAAAGAGAATCACATAATCACATATGTTAAAGAAGAAGCATTCTCATTTATGGGCTCCGCCACACCAAAAACCAAAACAAATCAACCTGTAAAATGACAAAAAAACCTCTGTTTTGTCCATCTCAACACTTGCATTGTCAAGTCCATCCAACATAGAGGAGTCCTTGCTAACAAGGGAAACCTTAAGAAAGAGAATAAATCCAGTCATCCAAAATCCTAAAGCAATCACAATCATGTAAACGAAAACTACAGACCAGGATTGGTGTTAGCTACCCTTTGAGATCAAGTAGGCCCTTAGCAGAAGCATCTACAGACATCTATAAACAGATATCTTGTAAATATTGTAACTTATAAATGATGAAAATTTCAGGGGCTAATGATCATGACAATAAGGCAATTTAATTCATTTAAATAGAGATCAAATAAGACAAGAAGAAAAAGGGAGCAATATACAAAAAATATATAAACCCATGAGCACTAATGAGACTATACCTACACGCAGACCTAATCAGAGTTGATTAAGTGGAGCAGAAAAAGTCATTGACTTTGCGCAACGAATATTAGTGTTACGCAAAATAGCTTTGCGTGACGCCAGTCTTTGTCGCGCAAAGCTTTTACACTACGTAAGTGCACCTACGTCGCGCAAAGTTGGGAAAAAAACGGTAAAGCATTCTTGGTTTGCAGCCAAAATCTTGCGCGACATACAAAACGTCGCCCAAATGGCCTTTGCGCGACAAAGGCTGGTGTCGCACTAAGATGTTTTGTGCAATGCAGATGTACCTACATCGCGCCAATGGTGTTTTGCGTCGTGCAAACATGTTTTTTCTACTAGTGTTTGTTGCGTTATTTAAACTTCTATATTCATATTCATCTTTTAGAGTTCATATTAATCTTGCATACCCAGTATCATAAGTCGTATTAGTGCTAGAGACAAATTGAGGATAGCCATTCTCCATAGGAACTCCTACTCTCAATCTTTTGATTTAATTCCATCTCCTTTTCTTCTGGCTATATCATTGAACACAAAAAAAGGTAAATACTTAGAGGCTAAAACATACGAATTAGCACGCGTTAATGAGATGATTTCAAGCTACACTAAGATGATTTCAAATCATCATTTTGAAATCATTCGGCAAACCAAATGTTCAGATTATTTGAAATCTTTGGGCAAACTAAATGTTCAAATGGTTAGATTAGTCCTTGAAAATTAAAAATGAGTGTTATAAGATTTGAGAAATGTAGGATGTATGTACAAAATATAAGGTGTATATTGAGAATGTGAGATGTGAAGGTATTATGAGAAAGTATGTGGAGTGTCTTAAGATAATTTTTAAGTGAAAAAGCAAATGTGGGGTGCATTAAGTATGTGAGGTTTATTCAACAATTTATGGGGTGTTAATCTAATAAGTCAAAAAAAAAAAAAAAAAAAAAAAAGGAGATATTTCAAGAAAATTCAAAGTTAGCACCTTGAGTTAGCTTCTTTGATTCCAGTACATTCCAAAACTGAGACAGATTGCTCTCCACTTCCTCTCATAATACACACAAGTAGTTTCCATTTTTTGATCAGGTAAAGCATAGTCTATTTTTTGAATCACAATTAACATTTATTAACAGAATTTTTAAATCATATATCCAATCTCATAGAGAGATCACAATCAAACAGTTGGTATTTGGCGGTGAAACTTAAAACCAAAACTGCACTTTAATGTCCTAGAGAGAACAAAATTGCAAGCAAAAGTAGAATATTGCAACAATATTGTGATAGTCACGAAATAAGTTTACGGTTTGCTAATATTGATTATTATGTTCCAAGTTTGTCTCAATTTATCATTTTCTATTAAGCTGAAAGTCTAAACATTTTGGTACTTATCAAGAAAAAACCAAATTAATTATTTGATGCAACTTACAAAACCTATTGGCATATATAGGCTTTGATTAAAAGGTTAAGTATTTACCAAAAGATTCCAGCTACAAAATGCATGGAAGATCCACAAAGTGTTTGATAAATCCAGAATTTGATTCTTTCTCTTCCTCCGTTTCCTTGCACCCCAAGAAAAGAAAAGCATTAGTGCCAAACTTTAAAAAGAACCTGCAAAATCCAGAGCAAGCATTAAAGAAAGTTAACAGTGTAGGACACAAATGTTTGCCCAAATGAAAAAGGAAAGATGTTTCCTAGCTATACTTCAAAGTATTCCAAGAAAAGGAAAGATGTTTCCTAGCTATATTTTAAGCAAGCTCACACACAGAACATATCAATTCTACCATACACATAAGTCGAACAAAAGCATCAGAGCCAATAATAACACGGAATTGAAAACTCATTAACCAATTTATTAACATATTTTTATGTAGATCACTACCTCTGTATTCTTAATTTATCAAATTGATTAAAATTACTAGTTCTCTTATATCTGACAATACCCGTCCCACTCCAGAATGATAAAACAAAAATTTCTCAATTTCTTATATCTCACAAAAAAAAAGCACATGCATGTCCATTTCAGCTCTTAAAACCGAAAGAAAATATCAGGGTTTCTTAGTTTCTTACCCAAATCCACCAATTTGAACAATTTAATATCGAACCGTTCATTGTCACTAGTTATACTAAAGTATTCGGGTTTTTTTGTTATTAATATCGATAAAACTCAATTGCGACCTCTCAAATCATTCATTATGCATATTAATGTCATTTTAATATCGAACCTTTTAGGAATCTAAGCTCATCAAAGCGTATTTTTGACAAAATATATATACCAAAGCAACACTTAATTTCACATGATACATCCAAGAAGGGTAAAAGTACAACAATGAAGCGACTTTTCATTCCCAATGGCCAATTTTACAGGATTCAAGCCATGCATGGGAATCAAGAGTATTGAAGCTGTCAGGCATAAAACATGGTTACTGATTCATGGAAATGGCCAAAATATAAGATAGATAAGAAGAAAGTCTACTCACTTTCTGAAAGTGACTTTCTGCGGTAAAACTTAATTAGCTGAAGGAACAATATTTCACAAGCTGGAAAGTCATTAACTTTGGAAAGATTGCCCCTCTTGAAGATACAGCCCATCATTCGTGCACTCATCAAATTCAGCCACCATTGCAATCATGTACCACACCTTTCCTGAAAGATCTCTCCTGCATTTCCAAACGGTTAAAAAATGTATAATTTTACTTATCATGAAAGGCCAAGGAGATTACAATGATTATGATATGGTGTAAGCAAACTCGATATACTACAACTGATGCATACAATCCAATTAAAATATTCATGAAAACTACCAACACGATACTTGAAACAACCACAACTAGCCACAAAAGGATTGTCAAACCAGCAATAAGGATGCAAGCTATTTCAAGAAATGGACCTTCTCGAGTAATCAGATCATGAATCAGTCGATACCAGCCTTTAAGCAGCATATAGTGACTCTTTACAACAACAATTATAGTTTAAACATAATCTCCACAATCAGCCCCAACACGCCAACTATATTACATCCCAAAATGTGAATCAACCTACAATATGTCACCGAAAAGAATTGAGTTCAGAATAAAACCGCTCCTTTAGGCAATGTTATTTCCAATGTATTAAAAGCGTGAGGCGTGGGCGAGGCGTCTGAGGGATAGCCCAACCTAGGCGTGAGGAGTGAGGCGTGAGGCGAAGCCTTGTGGAACCTTAAATAATAGAGGACTATTGAGAAAAACAGAGGAAACAGGGACTCTTAGGGTTTTAAAAATAAAAGAAAAACAAACTTGGCCAAAAAGACGTCGTTTTGGGCAAAGTCATTTAAAAAAAATTAAAGACTTGGCCAAAACGACGTCGTTTTGGACCAAGTCTTTTAAAAAAAACGAAAAATCCCTCTTCTTCTTCGCAATCATCTTCCTCGTGAGGATGCCGCACAGCCTGCAACCCTAAAACCAGATGGTAAAGCTTGAAAACAAAGCAGTCGACTTCGATTTTGGGTCGCGGATGGATCTGGGAACGCCCGCCAACCGCCTTTAGGCACACCTTAGCCGCCTAGTCTCACCTCGATCACGCCTCGGCGAGTTTTCGCCCACTCCCACTGGGCAAAGGCGTTATCACTCCAGCCCCGCCTCCAAAGCCGTCTAGGCGTGCCTCGGGGCACGTCTTTTAAAACATTGTTTATATCAAATGTTTATATTTGGCTACTGCTACATAATTTGATGACAGAAGCAAAACAATTCGAGTCACTAATTACAACACGATTACCTTATGGTTTGATTCAAATGTTTATACTTGGTAAAATCAATCACGAATGACTGTTCATATGTATCTAAGATCACCAATTAAGCAGAATTACTCAGGACTGGCAATATAGGCACCCAAGCATCCCATGACACACTATGATTGAATAACCTGCACAAATATCCCAATAAATTTGCAGATTAGTAGAAATAATAAAAGAGCGTTTGATGTTGAATGTCAAAAATACCTAAAGAAAAAAGGTGGACGGATATACATTTCCGAAGAGATCGATATTGCAATCAGATGGTGATCTATAGAATTCAAGCCATACGTGGGAATCAAGACGATTGAAGCTGTCAGGCATAAAACATAGTTATTGATTAATAGAAATGGAAGTGTATACAAAATATAAGATAGAAAATAAGAAGAAAGTATACTCACTTTCTGAAAAGTGACTTTGAAGGCAAGGACACAACCTGTACATACTTCTTCATTGAACCCAACCTTTCAACATAAAGCTAATAAAGAAAAACAGCAGTCTTGTTAATTTCCTCATCGCTTGGACCAAGCATAATATTCTTTTCATTAAATTTAAATAGCAATATGTCAAATTCATAGATGTCACCTCGAGCCAATGTTACCTTGAGTACAGAGAGCAAAAGCCCCCAAATCTGAAGGAAAACAAAAGTCTCTCGAGTCTAAAAACAAAACCAAATTAAACACGAAAATATAGAATTTGAGGTTAGAAACAAAACCCCCAAAATTACAAAAACGAAATTTGAACACAAAACATATTTTTAAATCCAAACTTACACATCTAAACACATAATATTCAAAACACAAAATTACTCCGGCAAAGAACTCACAGAAAACAATACCTTTTATGGGCTAAGTTTTTCTTCGAATCGACACCAGATTCAATATTTTCAGCAAGAGGACGTTATGGCTTGTAGTTCCAGAGTGAAAGTACTGAAGTAACAATCGTTTTCAGCAAGAAAGTGAAACAGAGATAAGTCGACGTTTAAGAGCGAGAGAACGGTGAGAGAGAGAGAGAGAGAGAGAGAGAGAGACGAACCTTTTGCATGCTTGAGTGAGAGCTCGGCTTTTCAATCCGTCTTTCCTTCTCGATGAGCAACACGTGTATAGAACCAAACTGCAATAGCCTGACCTTTCCATCGTATTCACCCAGCGATGAAAGACACAAAGGACCAAAAGGGCAAAACGGTCATATTACTGTAGAAATGCGACGTTAAAACAAAGATTATGAAAAATTTGAGGGGCCTTTTTCGCCACTCTACTGCTCACGAATAGTAACCGGGAGTTTGGATTTTAGTATATTTAAATATGGTTTGATATATATTTTCAATTTTTCTGAATTTTAATTCTTGACACCAAAAGAAGGGGAGAATAAATTCGAATCAATAGCTAACTTGGTTCAGCCAATAAGAGTTAACTCTTCATTCAAATAAATCAGAGTGTGTTTTGCTTGTATCAAATATTCTTGATTCTTTTGTTCATTTCTCTGAGTGAAATTAAGAGAGGTGTGGTATAGTTTGTAAACTTATCAGCAACATTATTTGGTATTAGTTTGTAAACTGAATACTAACATTGAGGGAAGGAGTGACAATGCTCCATATCGAGGAATTTTGAGTTGTGAAGGGGAAGGAAGGGTCATAGCAGGCTCGGCCCAGGCCTAGTGCCACTAGGGCAGCTGTCCAGGGCACCAAAATATAAAAACCCAAATAACTAAGTATAAAAAAATAAAAAAAATAAAAAAATAAAAATAAAAATAAAAAAAACAAAACAAAACAAAACATAACGGGGACCACTCGGTCCCCAATTAACCATATGTCCCAAATACTTCCAACCCTTTCTCAATTCCCCACCCCCCTTTGTTCCCCACTTCCCTCACTTCCCTGCCCACTTCCTTGCCGTCCCTGACTCTCCCTTTTCTTTCTCTCAATTCCATTAGCTGCTGTAAGAGTGATTTATTGTTTCGGTGTTTCTTGAGTTGATAACTCAAGTCAACTACAAGTGCAAGCTGCTGCACGCAGCCAGACAGGCAAGGCAATCCTCCTCAGCTCAGCGCCAGGCCCATTAACCATTGGGCATTGCCGCATTGGCTGCAAGTGCATTCACTCACCACCAACCCTTTTGAGTTTTGAGGTAAAGTAATTTTTAAAATTTGAATTATCAATTTATAATTTAATATAAAATTTTGCAATGCAGGTGACATAGAATTATATGATAAATTGATAATTGATGTATAGAATTGTTGTTGTTGATGAATTGATAATTGATGTGTAGGTAATTTTTACAAACAAATTATCAAAACCATGTATTTTAGGAAACAACTCTCTGGTAATATGAAAAGGAAAAAAAAGGCAAAGGATAATGAAATTGCTGAAAGTTTAGGAGGATCTCTTAATAAATTTTTCTCTACAAAGAATGACTCAGTTGAAAATTTGAGAGAAAATGATGTTGGTGAAGAGTCACAAAATGTTATTGGGGACTTTCATGATCATGAAAATGGTAGTGATTTAGAAGAAAATGTTGGCAATAAGTCTCAAGACCATGAAAATGGTGGTGATGTGGATTTAAATGTTGATGATGATCATATTGGTGTAGAGGAAAATATTGAATCTCCTGAACCTATGTCCTCCCGTTGTATATTTTCTCAAGTTGTATATTTTGGTACTATGTCCCCCTTGTTGTATATTTTCTCAAGTAATTTAATTTGGGCGAGGACCTAACCCCCCAACTTCGACTAGGTTCCAACCCTCGTTAAATATATATTTTTTAAACATATGTTTCCGTATTAAAAAAAGGGCATATTTTGAGCTTTTGCACTGGGCACCCAAAAACTCAGGACCGGCCATGGGTCATAGATTGTGGTTTATGTCACAATGTTACTGAATATGTCTTCTTTGACTCTGGCCATACAATATCTTCTTTATTTATTCCTTACAATCTCAAAGCCCAATCTGAAACTAATTTTTCTTTGCTAACACAATAGACCAGCCATCAACATCTCCAAGAGTAATTTTAAAACTTAGCTGGTTCTTTTTTTTTGAACAAAAAATATTATTTACACTAAGGAGTTGGTGGAGTGGGCTAAATCTCACAATGGACTAGTAATAATGTGGTTCAAATTCGTCTTTGGCGAGAATTCAACCTGAAACATCTCACTTACAAGTGAAAATGAATACCACTATACCATAGTACTAAGTGGCAAAATTTAGTTGGTTTAGCTAGTGAATAGTGTCAAAGAATTATTTTATCTAGCTAATTTAACTTTTTTGTCAAAATACATAAATTTCATTAATTAAAAAGGATAGTGCAAGATAAATAATAATAATAATAAAAAAACCTAAAAAGCAGTCCAAAGCAACCAAGTACAAGAAAAACAACAACAATTTAAATACAATAAAAAGGCCCAAAAGTAGCCAGATCACTACAAAACCTAGATATGAAAGATCGTTGGCTCCACCAAACAGTTGCGCCCCCATCAGAAAGACTAGATGAACCCACAAAATGACTACATGAACTAGAAATGGGGGTGAACAAGTCACCCATGCAAAAAATGCTACTATGACCCTACTAAATAATAGTGCTAATAACACTTTAACACCACCCAACGCCAAAGCGCGCCCAAGTCGAGTAGTAGAGGTTGATAGTTGAAAACTCGCAATGGAAGCAACATCTGAGTAAGAGAGCAGCATGAAAGCTCAAATCTGAGATAAGCTAAATAAATTTGAGACAAAAGCTCAAGGAAAAAAAAAAAAAACAAGGGCCCAAGTAAGATATAGAGAAACTAAAAGGATAACAGAGAGGGAGTAGTTGGGGTTGGTAAGGAGGGGTGAGAGGGGTGGTTTGCCACTGACCCCCACCTAAAAGTAAAAGTCGGCAACAATGGGAGTTAGGGTTCTTTTATGCTTTCAGCGAGAGAGAAATTATTTTATTTCCCTAATTTAACTTATTATTTTCAACAACCTTCTCAATTTTACTAGGGTTGGAAACTTTCCCTAAAATCCCAAACCAAACTAAAAAAATCTCGATTCCATACTAAAGATTCACAAACCGATAATACCAAAATTTCGGGACTCTATACCGAAGCGATTTTGAAATTTTGGTACGGGATTAGGTCTAAGACATGCATTGGTTCGGGAATCCCAAACCGAACTTATTTTTATTTATTTTTTATTTATAAGTTAGGGTTAATTCCATCCATTGGTTTGCTCTAGAATAATCTTGCTCGTCCGTTGTTGTCATCTCATCTATGCCTTCCAATTCGAAGCTCAGCAACCATCCATCCATCCACCCTCTCACAATCTCACTCCGACGAACTATCTCCACTCTGGCCCCCACCACACCTCATAGCTTCATCATTCTCTCGTTTAACTCTCTTGTGAGATTCTCTTTCTAAGACCGTATGCAATTCTCTCCAATGATTCTCTATGTGTGGGGGTTTCGAATTGGGGGCTTGAGTTAGGAGGAGGATGTGGGTCTGACTATCTTTTCACTATGTTTCTCTCTCTCTTTGTCAACCTTCAATCTTCACTAATTCACTGCACTCTTTCTCTGATTTTAATTTGGGGTAATAATGCAAGTTCGAATGATTTCAATTTCAATATGAATGATTTGGATTTTGATGCAAGTCCAATTCCAGGAAATTCTGAAATTTCGAAAACATTTTTGGAATTCCGAAATTCAGGAATACCGAAATTTCGGTTTAAGATCGATTGTCAGATTCCCGTCCTGAAAATGATCAGCTCGGAATTCGTTATGCCTTTTTCGGTTTGCCATATTGAACCAGCTCTAATTTTAACAAAATAACCTCACAAAAAAACCAACGCACCTCTTAGGAGAGAGAAGTGAGTTTTAAGAGTTTGTTAATATTTTGCTTTTGTTATTTTCTCTCTCCCCTTTTTAAATTTAAAGAGTAACTCTTTATTTTGTTAGATTAGATTGTCTTCATAAAGATTAATAAATAATCAATCGAGACATTCAAGTGATTGCAAGTAACAGAAAAATGCACATACATATACTACATATTTATTCATGCAACTTAGACATATTATTGTCATTCAAGTTATGGTTTAATTCCAATCTCATTAGCCAAAACACATATTCATGGAAGGTAAAACAACGCTTTAATAGATTCATGCAAGTCTACTTTAATGCTCAAAACTTTCTAACCATAAACAATTTGATTAGATTAACCCAAGAACAACTCCCACTAAGCTTTTAAATTTTTAACACTTACTGCAAATAAACTAATAAGTGTGAAACACAATTTTCTTTAACTACTTCTCCCTCTTGGGCAAACACTCATTAATGTGTATTCTTCCAAAGGATGTACCAAAATAAAATAGCTTCATATTTTAGACATAATAAAATAGATACCAAAACCAACATAAAGTTTGTCAAGCAAAATTTCAGCAATAAGTCACACTTACTTTAGAATTTTTTTCATAATTAATTCATACGCTTGATTTCTACCAAAATTATATAGGTCAAACTAGATATACTAATCTACATAGAATAAAAGTATAAAGCCATTTTAAGTCAAAATGATAGTCTAAAGTGATGTATCAAAAAGACTAATGCAATCTGCCGAGCAGGGATTACTAGTAAATTCACCATAATTAAAATACATTGCAAAAAATTACACAAATGTGCAGATACATAGTAGATATTTATATGTTAAACATATAAAAAATTCAGATCATTTGGTGACCATTAGATGTGTCATTCATCCGATTTGAATCAATACATGCAATCTGCCAGAAATACAATGTGCATCTATCACGAATCTATACAACCATAATTAATTCAATCTCATCCAATTTCAATTCGATGTGCGAAGGAAACTTAAGTAGTCAAGTTTATCCTCTGAATAGAAATCATAGTTCAAATTGAAAAGATTTACAAGCATAGTACTTAAACAATGTGTACCTTAGCAATCCTTGATTAACCTTCGTGGATCCAATACTTTGCATCAACAAGTCTCATGAGGAGACACAAAAATACATCATGATGCAACTGATTTCCATGCCTTAAAACTAG